GCTCGCTTTGCTTATCGAGTGGTATTCGGCCCATCCCGCCAACGTGGCATGGTTGTGGGCCAGAAGCGTCGTGGGTGCCTCTCAAAAAGGGTTCTGGATGTTTCTGGGAGGGCCTAGCTGTTGGTGGCCGCGTGGGTGACTTCTGGGAGCCTCGTTGCGGCATATTGTGGCTTCGTGGGGGCTCCTCGGGGCACTCATGGGGCGTCTTGCGGGCGTCTTGGGGGCGCATCGGTGGCGCGCTGGCGGTCTCGAGGGCCATTTGGGGGGGGAGATATGGAAGTGTCAGTTCGTGATCTCTCGTTTGGGCCCCTCGTAGAGTCATCTCGGGCCCTCGTGGGCCGTCTTCGTGTGCGTTTGGGCTGGTGTGGGGCAGTCTTTTGCTGACCTAGACGCTGTTGAGGGCCGTGTTGCGGCGGTGGTGGGGACATGTTTGGTGTTCCCCCTCTCTCATGTTCACAAGTCACGTCCATCTCCGCCCCCCCATCCCGCGTGCTTCTCCCTCTCCCCATCGCCCTCCCCGTTCCGCCCTGTGGCGGAACGGGGAGGGGACGGGGAGAGTGGTCATGTGGAGCTGAGCCATCCCACCTCCTCCCCAAGGAAGGCGTCATACCCTCCGCACTCGCCGAGTCCGCCCGATGTGGGTTCGGGCTCGATCGGCCCCCGCGTCATAGTCGGCATGGGCTCGGGTCCGCATCAGAGCGTGCGTCCGACGCGTCGTGTTCGGCTGCGTGTGTCATGATTGTCCTCGGGGTGCTTAGGCTGAAGGCTGCAAGCATAATGTCGGGCGCACAGCAGATCCGCGAGCCTGACGCTCGGATAACCAAAACTGCACGCCACGTGCCAGAGACAAGAGCTTTTAAACTGAACCGCGTGTCGGCCTGTGATACGTGCGTCGGTCGTCGTCGTCGCCGTCGTCGTCGTCGTCGTCGTCGTGATCGTCGTCATCGACGTCGTCGTCGCCGTCGTCGCCTTCGTCGTCGCTGTCGTCGTCATTGCGCACCCGCCTCCATGCAAACTTGGTGCTGCCATCCCACCCTGCACGGCCCGTCCACCGTCCGTTCCAATCCTCATCGCGTCGTTGGGTGTATTGGTCCGTCCAGTCCGTCCTCCGTGTTATGCCCCCCCCCCATTGGTCCGCCTCGTCAAGTTTCTATCGTTTTCAGGTCCGCCGTTGTTTTCCAGTTACGTGGTCGTCCTCAGTATCGCACCGTCTCATCGTCCACAATCCGCCCCCCATATGCTCCTCATCCTCATCATCCCCTCAGCGTTGCATCATATGGCCATGGGTGCTCCGCGCCCGCGGATCACTCCATAGCGGGTGGCACAAACGAATCCGCAAGCTGCGTGCCATCCTCGTAGGGAGGCTGCGTGCCTTCGGCGAGCCCACTATCATCGAAACAATCGGCCATCTGGCCAGCGCAACTCGGCTGCTGCGTCCTACACCCAAATGCATTCTTGTAATCAATCGTGTCAGCCGCAGAGCTGCACGCACCCGGCGCGGCGGCGCTCCCTGGAGTGCAACCGCCAGCGCCACTCGCCTGGACAGAGATCGGCACGTTGATGATACCACCACCAGCCACGCTCAACTGGAGATTGGCCGTCTCTTCGACCGTCGGCGTAGCCTTATCAGTCGGGGAGATGGTGTGCTTCGGGCGTGGCGGTGCTGCTGCGCACGGTCCTGCACCGCACCCTTTTGCTGCGTAATCGGCTTCGGGCGGTGGTGATGTCACGACTGGGATCGGGCCATCATGCAACCCTAACTCAGCATGGGAAATGCGAGGTACCTTCTGCGGCGGCTCGATGTGCTCGATTGGTTTTGCACGAACGTCGATCAGTATCGCGATGTTCACAACCTCCTGTCTCTAATAATCATGGCGCGCACCCGGCTCCGCTGGCAGCCTAATGTTAATCCGAGGGTACCTGTCCATGGTGATGTCCGATCCTCCATCTGAGCCGTCGGGCATTGTGAAGTATGCTGTTGGGGCGTGTGGGCTGCGCGTGCTATGGACTGCCTTGGGCCTCGAAACAGTTGAGGACGGTACATCCTATATATATCTATATCTATATATGTGCATGGTCCCGAATCGGCTATGTATGCACGTATGTGCGGTATGTGTTGTTCGCGAATCGGGACGATGCATAAGTGAAACCCGAGTCCGCAAATATGAAACCGACCATGCAGCCAACCAACCCCCGATCTGCGGACTGCATCCATACGCCACCACCACCACTGGCGCAGACAGTTACAACATATGCCCCAGGACGGCGTATAGACCTCCTGGTCGAGACCATGAGGTCGCCGCCGCCATCCTGAGACAGCAATTGTCCTTAAGGTGAACACTGTCCAGGGATGGCGGTGGCGTCTCGCCGTCGTATTGGGGCCCGAACTAGATTACACGTATACAGTTTGTCGGTTTTGTTGTAGTTAGATTGCGGTGTCGTCGTCGTCGTCGTCGTCGTCGTCGCCGTCGTCGTCGTCGTCACCGCCGCCGCCGCCGTCGTTGTCGTCGTCGTCGTCGTCGTCGTCGTCGTCATCGTCGTCATCGTCGTCGTGATCGTCGGCGTCGTCGACGTCGCCGTCGCCGTCGCCGTCGTCGGCGTCGTCGTCGTCGTCGTCGGTACGGTTGTTATGCATGTTAACACCAGCGTGCCGCACCGTCGACGTGTCTGCTAAACCGTCGAGCGTGGTGTAGCGCGTAGATTTCCAACGCGCAAGACATGCACCAAGAAACAAAACTCGTGACCAGTGCGTCGTGAGCCCGTGCTCACGCAGAGACGTGCCGATCCAACGGCAACGAGTGAGCTGGCGCGTCCGCGCGTGCAGTCAAGGCAACTATCAGTGTATAGTCGACACAGGCGGCATCGGGCATACAGCTCCAGAGAGGTGATGCAGGTACAGCCTAGTTCCGTAAGCCTGAGATCTCGCAGTGCCCTCTGGTGTCCTACGGTGTCCTACGCAGCGCGTAGGACCGCGTAGGATCGCGTAGGACCTCGACCGACTGACGCGGTCACACTACATCAAAGGGAACACATATGATCGCGTAGAACCTCGAACGACTGACGCGGTCACACTGCACCAAACTGAACACACGATGCGTGTGGAATCGAACGGGGCACGGTGAGATACCAAGAATGGTATAATCCATAGTTACTGTACCATACGTGTATACTTCAACCGTGTACTAATATGTATTGACATATTGCATGTCTGCTCCACTGAATCCCCAGCACCACGATCGCCGCTGCTGGCCTCACCCCATCGCACATGCTGGTCCGCCCTACGGCCGCGAATGCGTGACACTGCTGTGAATTACAAATGCTACGTGCGAGCAGAGAGGCGGGACCGCGTGTGGCAATGCCACTCACAAACTACGGGGGTATGCGGATGACGTCTGCGAGCTCGCGCGTGTAATCCCATGTCACGGCGACACCCTGACCACGCTCATATTGATAAGTGCGTTCCGTGGTGAGTCCGTAGCCATATTATGTATACATACAATGTACCGCGTGACACGCACGCGTAGACATGCCGATCATGCGACGTCCTACGCGGTCCTATGGGTAGCGTAGGACCGCGTAGGATTGCGTAGGAGTACGTAGGAGGTGGGCGGCCCAGTCGGACCCCGCAACACCCGTGCGATACCGTGGCCACAATCGACAGCAACACACCGTGTGCGATGGCGCGCAACGTGCTGCATACCATCATCCACGAATACTGTGATGCGCCGCATGGCCTCGCGCGAGCGTGGCTCATAATGACCCCCACATCGGTCTAGGTCGGCACCTTCGGGCCCCAGTCGGGGAGGAACACGCGCCCGATTGTATCATGCAATGTTATGTCGGTCACTGTGCGAGTGCGTGCGTGTCGGTCTGGTGCCGCTTGTGTGTATTCACATGTGCGTCATGCAGTACGTCACCGCACGCCGTGCTTGCAAGCACAAGAGCACACTTAAAACTACACCTGGACTGGGAGAGATGGTCCGACCGAGGCCGCGGCGCACGCCGCAATGGCTCTGGCAAACTCATCTGGGTACGCCGCTGACTCCGGCAGCGCGCCACGGTTGCCTTCGGTCGACCCCCCTGTTTTTATGTACAGCTGTGCTCTCGATTGCACATCATGCGACCCGTCGCGACGGGCACGCCTAACCAGCTGAGCTATCACCAGGGCCTCATCCATGTTAGTGTACAGTTCGAGCTGCTTCTCAGTGGGCGCGCCGAACTGGTGTAGTGACGTGGTGTGCCGCTTCCCCCTCCCTGCCACGATCGCACTGGATATCCACGGCACGCGGTACATCAAGCTATTGAATGGTTGCTCAATGCTGGATCTGGCGCTTTTCACGCTGCACAGCAACACAAGCCACCCCAGTACAACTGATCCGAAATTTGCGGCTGTGCACTTGTCAATCCTGCCCTGGCCAAGAATGTTGAAGCCGCGCATGTCCCTGGAGTACGCACCCCGACAAAGGAATTGCAACCATGTTTTGCACTCAGGGCTGAACCAAGCAAGTCCGCCTTCGACGATTGAGCAAATGATCCAAGCACTGTGAACCACGCCGACGAGGGTGGTGATATCCTCTGATGGGGCATCCCCCCTGTCGAACGTTGCGGCGGTCATGCCCATGTCGCGAGCGTGATGCGCCGCTCCACCTTTGTCAGAGAAAATGCGCCAACCCATAGTGGGCGCCCAAGCCATAGCATCTCGTTCGATCGTCAACGCGTGTTCGAGGATGGTGCACCCCAACTACACATTTGAATATATACAGTCGGCGTCTGGTGACGACCTCTCATATTAATCCGAGGTGCGTCGTGCGCGGCACGGTCCACTCCGACACTTCCGCCTCAGCAATGCGCAGCGCCAGCGCCGAATCGATGCCAAGCAGTGTCGCTGCTGCCTCAGGGGGGAAGCCCGCGCGAACAGCGGCGTCCGTTGCACGTGGCGAGATCCAGCGTTGCCTGCCTGGTGCAGCGGGGTGCCCATCCAGAGCCATGGCAGCAATCTGTCACGCAAGCGGTTCGGGCGGCGCATATGCAAACTTACTGAGCCCGAGCCCCGACATCAACCCGAACACTTTGAACGCACGAAACTCGAATTTGGTCTGACGGGCGTGCTCGGCCGCGGACCTCAATGTTATGTTGAGGGTCTCGTCGAGCCACGTTGCGTAGAGCGCGGGGTTCCCGTGCAATCGAATCCTGCGGATTGGGGCGACCAACCGCGGGGGCCATCTTTATTGGGCCGTCGTGGCCCGCCCTATGAGTCGATTGAGGTTGTTAAGGGCGGTATCGGGGGGGCGCCCCATATAAGCTGGCGTGGAGCCTCGGAGCCGTCTTGGGCCACCGCGGGGCCACGCTTGGGCCGTCCGATGGGGCCGTCGTGGGCCCTCGGTCTCAGCTGGTCAACTGATCGGTGCTCCTACACTGCCGCACGGGGTCATACAGGCGGCGCAGGGGTCCAACAGGGTACCTCGCTCGTCAGGCGCGGGGGGGAAGGCCGCGGACGGCGTCCGGGGCGGCATTGGGGAACCAGCCAAGTGGGTTAGGTCCGACAGTAACATTGTATGACCCGAGCTATACTGATGACGCGCTCACACACATACGCACACACAACCACACACACGCACACACACACACGCACACGCACACACATACAAACACACCCCCACACACTACAGCACACCTACACCTACGCACCCCTACGCTACCCATAGGACCGCGTAGGACCTCGTAGGACCTCGGCTATCTTACAGTGGGGGTGTCACGAACGGCGCACGCGCCATGAACTCTCCCCCCGCCAGGTTATGTGTGCCCGTCCTATCGACTAGTTGCATGCTGAAATGGTGCTTGGGCACGAAATCGATGCCAGCAGCGTCCGACCGAACGAGGTGAATCATCATCAGCTCGTACAATCATTGGCACGTGTGTTCTGGAACTCGCATAGGCGCGGTTTTGAGAATCTCCATAAGTTCGGTAAGTGCCTCGCCTGCCTTCACTAAATCCTCGTAGTCGGGAACGTCGGTGCATGTTGTGAGTCGATCTAAGGCGAACTTCATCACAATGTATGTTTGATGCGCTTTGAATTTCATCCCCCCTCCACTGTGTTTTCCAGAACTCATTAACTGGGCGTCTGGTTCTTCGCCTAACATCCCAGGAGTGAGTTCCCATATCCTGTCTGACTGATCGATGTGGTTCCTGTTCTGCCACTCGGACATATCATGACTGAGTTGCTTGACACACGCGGCAATTCTGGTGGCCTTCTGACCGCGGACGCACCAAGGATTCACAGTGACGATGCGCCACAGGACGCAAGATGCCCACCGCTGTATCGGGCCATAGCACAGCGTATGCATCAGATCGATCGCACAGTGAGTACATGGGTCAATTCCACATGCATCACCGAAAATTGGATTCCGCCTGATGACAGAACTTGACCTCGCTCCATTCGAATCGTACGGAAACCTCCAAAACACTGGATCAACTGGGAGCGGACAGTCAAAGAAATCTTTCACGCGATGAAGCGTTTGCGAGGGCACCAGCACGTCGCCCTGGCGAAGCTGGCATGTAGGTGTGCGCAGCAGGTCAGCAACCATAGTGTACCCCCACGGATCCTTTGCCCCCCTTCCTGAATGCTGCGTTCATCAGAACGGCGTTCCTCTGTTCCTCTGTAGATACGTGCACGCGGTGCTCACGCGACAGGCACCACCTCTCATACTCACCTGGCTCAACTTTTCCCACGGTAGACCATCGGGCTGGACGCTTGGGTAGAAAGCGTGCATGCCATGTTTCGTGCACTTACAGAACGGACATGGTCCGTGCGTGGATGTGACTGCTGGCATGCCATGTGTTTTATTTGCATCTGCCCAATCCCCCTTCAGCCACAGCACCGCTGCACGGAAGCCTAGCGCATCGCCATGCTTCGCCCGTAGGCGTGATAAAATATGGCCATCGCCAACCTCACTACCATCAAACCGAGAGCGGGGTCGGACTCCATCCTCCAGTACTTTAAACAGCCAGCGGATGCACTCCAGGATCAACCATATCGAACACCACCCCCTGCACCCACACCCGCATAAAGTGTTTGCCCGAATGCTACAAATCAGGTGACGTTGCTTCGAGGCTACGTTCACGAGCCAAAAGCCAACAAACGAATCTGTATTACAGTGCAATGGTGATAGATAGCGAACGCCGTCCGTGTATATGGCCAGCGGTAACACGACCCCCTCGCCCCCTGGCTGGCATGCAATTTTGTTTGGCGTGTAGCATGCGGGCCAATCTGTGCGATTGAATGTTGTTAAGAGCTCATGGCTACCCCTGACCTCGTCAGCAAGCGTTTCATACACAAATGAAACTTTAAACGGTTTCATGTCGTGCTTCCGCTTCCCCAGCGGCATGGCTAGGTATTCGAATCCTGTATGCGTAGGGACAAGTGTGTCTAAGCGCTGCTGGTACTTGCCACTCTGACAGTTTGGGTGCATCCCATATTCCCCAAACGGCGCCCCGAGTACACACGCTTTATCTGCATGGTAACATGCCACGCTGAAATCCTTGGCCGACAATTTCCCAAGGGCCCACAGATATTGCAAATGCTGAAATAGATCGTGGCCCGCTTGCCTCATGCCGTGCAAGTCACGCTCGAAGTCAGCTCGCTGACACCTAGGAACGTGGTCCAGCAGCTCCAAAAACCGCCGCCGCTTGGCGGCAGGTGCTGCCATGCTGGCGGGCGAACTGCGGCAGTGAGACGGCCCTGGAAAACTGAGGCAGCGCGAGCGAACTTGACCCCCAGTGCGATCTACGGCGCTATGCCACATGTACACATGATCACGTCCATAGTAGTTAGTCCCCAATGGTCTTCATCATTCATCCTCGCTTCCTCATCGGCATCATCCTCATCTTCCTCATCGTCCTCCTCCTCCACGACATCATCAGCTGCATCATCCGTATCGACATCATCATCATCACCATCATCAACATCATCATCATCAACATCATCATCATCATCGTTACCGATCACCCGCGTTCCCTCCCTCCAGTTGTTCCGCCCCGTTGTTCCCTCCCGTTGTTGGCCATTGGGCGATCGTGTCCATGCACCCGCCCCCACTCCACAATGCACGCAGCCATTGCCCCCCCGCAATACTCCAGCCCAGCGCCGACCCCATGATCATCGCAGTGTATCGCATCGCCTCGCAGCGATTCGCATCGAGTAGAGTCGGCTCGCGTCGCGCGGCGTCGGGTTACATCGCCCACGGCGTTCATCGGTTACCAGTTTCGCAATGACCGTCTCGCAGCGGCTCTCACAACGGCTCGCTCGATGCACCGTCTCTGCGGCGCTTGCCTCGACTACGCCATGCCCGTGGGTAGGAGCTAGGAGCGCACCGCGCGCGCTGCCAGGCCGCGCACACTAGCTGATGCCAATCGTACGTGCACGAGTGCCCCCCCCCCCCCGCGAATGCAATACATTGGCTGTCCCCCCATCCACCCTCCCCATGCGCGTCGATGGCCGCGCAATGGCTGGCGGAGTCTACCAACATGCAGCAAGCGCAGTGCGGCAGCATCTCCTGGGCGGGCACGGAGATGACTCACCCCCCAGGGGGCTCCGTGGAGCTCGAGAGGGAGCGGGCGGGCATCAGTTGAGCCTCTAGGGTCCCCAATTGGTGTGCCAGACCCACACGGATACCATAAACTGTGCAATTGTGTCGATTCGGGCGTGGTTTGGGCTCGTTTGGCTACTCCTACGGGGTCCTACGGGGTCCTACGGGTGAGCTTTCCCGGTAAAAACACAAAGTTTCGTCAACTCCTACGCGCCGACTCCCACGCACTCCTACGCGGTCCTACTGGGGGTGTTTCGGTGGATCGGGCGTGCAAGCACGCCAAAAGGGTGCTCGGAACGCGAAACGCGCGCGCAGGGTCAGTCGGACAGCGTTCGGGAGTGTTTGGGCACACATTCGGGCGATTGGATGGGAATTCGGGGGCTGGAGGCACGTGCGCGGGGCCCACTGCGCACCGGGGAGGGCATGTAGGCTTCGAAACCACGTGCGAAGGGCGGGGGTGCATCGGGGTTCCCATCGACGTTTAATTTGGCCGTTGCCGCAAGGGGAGATGGCGGGGGGGAACATGATGATGATGAGGAGGATGCGGGTGAGGAGGTAGATGAGGATGATGCGGATGCGGAGGATGAGGAAGATGAGGATGGCGAGGAGGAGCAGGAGGAGGAGGACGATGCGGAGGAGGAGGAGGAGTAGGAGGAGGAGGAGTAGGAGGAGAATGATGAGACGGATGATGGGGAGGATGATGAGGATGAGTCGGAGGAAGAAGAGGACGCGGAGGATGAGGAGGAGAACGAGGCGGATGCGGACGAGGCGGAGGACGATGATGAGGAGGAGGAGGAATAGGAGGCGGAGCAGGGGGGTGAGTGGGAGCGGGCGCCTGGGGATACGGATGGTAAACAGGTGACGGGGAAGGTGGGCTGGGATGAGTGCAGGGGAGGAAGACAAGGATGGAGGATGGAGTGGTGATAGGAGGGGCACTGACGGCATCGCGCGCCCTTCCTCCAGCTGCCCCCGATCAGCTGCACGATCAGCGCAGTCAGCGCGTGCGGTAGCGCCTGAAACAGATGCGCCAGCAAGCGAGATCGAACTGCATGCGACCAGTGAGGGGATGAGAGTGGTCACGAAGAGGCACAGCACCGGCCGCTTGAGGTGGACGATGCGGAGGAGGGGGAGGAGGAAGAGGAGGATGAGGAGGAAGAGGAGGAGGAGGAGAGAGGGAGGAGGATGCGGAGTAGGATGATTAATACGAGGAAGATGAGGACGTCAACGACGACTGTGATTGTCGTGGATGCGGGATATGCGAGGCGGATGAGAAGGATGAGGACGGTGCAGGGGAGGAGCGGGGGGTAAACCCACACAGTGGTACACGCACAGTTCGAGACGGATATGCAGACGACAGGGCGGCATGCACCCCCAACTCCTCACTCGTATCACCGCCATCCATCATCTCACCTCCTCCGCCTCCACTGGTGGCGCGGGTTAGGGTTTTGAAAGATGCCAGCGCCTCCCGACGCCAGCCCCCCATCACGCATGATGTAGGCACCCGCGGCCGCCGTCACGTAGCCCACGACCACCGCCATGTAGCCTCACACGCGCGCCCGCTTCGCGCGCCTCCCTGTCTCAGAGCTCTGGTCGGCGTTGGCCTCGAGCGCCGTCTCCCTGGCGCGCTGCTGGCTGATCAAGATGCGGGCCTCGCGCTCGAGGTCGCCGATGACGGGGTCCATCTTCTCTGAGAACTCGGCCAAATACCTGTCAAACTTCTCGATTGCCTCGGGGCTCTTCTGCTTGGCCGTGGTGGCGCGCATCTGGCTGATGTCAGACGTCATGAACTGACCGAAGACCTCGCGCTCGCGCGTGATCTCAGCGAGCTTGTCGAGGGGATCCATGATGGTCGACAAATGCACTGGCGCGTTTGCCCACGACCATTTGTTGACGGAGCCGTCAGTTGGCACCTTCTTGATGTCGTGGATCAAGGAGTTCGCCTCCGCCTGCGCCACGCCGTAGTTGCTCTCGGTGATCTTGGCCCTGCCAACGAGCTTCGCCGCAACCGACGCAGCAGCCGCCTTGGCCTTCGGCACCTTCTTGATGCTATCAGCCACCGCCTTCTCCTCCGATGCCTTCTTTGTCTTCTCCTCAGCGTCCGTCTTTGCTTTCTCCTCCGCCGCATGTTTCTCAGACGAATCCTGCTTTGCCAGCTCCGCAGCCGCTGCAACCCCCGCTGCCTCATCCTCGGGTGACTTCACTTTGCGCCTCCGTTTGTGCGATGGGCCTGCCGCACCGTCAGCATTCACACATGGCTCCTCATCTGGCGCCGCCGTCGCGACGTCGGCGCCAGCGGCGGACGCTGCGCCGACTGGTATGCGCGGGCCCGAGCCGCTGAGCTTGCGCACCACCTCCCGCGGGAACGCATCGCTGGCGCCCGCTGTGCTCATGTCCTCGGAGAGCCGACGCAGCGGGGTAGCGACGCACTACGAGGTTGGAGCTGAGTGGAGATCACGACGGAGGTTTCGGGGGAGGGGGCGAGGATGTCCCTGGAGTCCCTGGAGGGGTCTCTGGGGAGGGGTGATGAGGGACATGATGGCACCGTTAGGTTCAAGTCCATTGTCCTTGTTATGGTGGGCAAACTTCTCCTTGAGCGTGATCCACTTGGTCTCCATGCGCTCCTTCACGCCCTCGAGCTTGTAAAGAAACTTGTAGTCCTTGGCCCAGCTGCAGTACTTCCAGTAGGGCTGCCCGACCGCGATAGCCTTGAGAGCCCAATTTGTGGCGTTGCGGACCCCCTGTTTCCCACCGCCTTCTCCTGTGGCGATCCTCCCGATGGTAAAGTACCAGGCGTCCGCGAATGTCTCCTTGGCGTGTGTCGTTTGCTTCTTGAGCGTGGTCGTGAAGGTGTCGTACTCGGTCTTGTTCCAGTTCTGTCGCCACTTTTTCATTGCCAGCGGCTGCCCCTTCAGCGCATCAGGTTCTGCTTTCTTCTCTGCATTGTTGGGGTTCTTGCACCATCGATTCCATCTGCCAGCCGCTGGGTTCCCTGCTTTGGTGTCCGTGGTGAACATGAAGTCGTTGGTCTTCTGCTGCCCCCAAGACTTCGCCTCAGCTACGTCTTCTGCCGAGACCTCCCCGCTGTCACCGGCGCCGCCCTGAGCTGCGGGACCATCCACATCCACCCCGGGGTCCGTGAAGTGGCTGATCTTGGCGAAGCCCGTCTTGAAGAAGTCTGCGAGGACGTCGGCGTCGCCGTCCGATTTCGCGAGGAGGTCGCCCGCCTCCGACTCCAGGACGTCCTCCAGGTCGAGCTGCTGCTGGATCTGCGCTTCGATCGAAAAATCATCCCCCGCCGCTGTCGACAGCTCCTCCAATGACTTTGATGCAGCGACATTGTCGGGCTTGACGTGTTTCTGAGCTGTCGGTTCTGCTGGACGTGGCGCATGAGGCTGCGCGGCTGGAGGCCGGTGCACTGCTGGACCTGGTGCAGGAGGCTGCTCTTCTGGAAGTTGGTGCACTGCTGGACCTGGCTGCGCGGTCAGAACAGGTTGACCCTCAGGCGGAGCACCCACGTCTGGATCACGGAGCTTGCTTGACGCACGCACTGCCTCGGCAAGCACGTCATGAGAATCAACGGGCTCCGTCTTGACCAGCGTGTCCAGTGGGGCGTCGTCGCTGTCGATCGCGGCGGCCTCGCTGCTCGCGGCGGGTAGCTGGCTGACCGCGGCACCGACCTCGATGACTCCATCAGCGCCGCCAGCTGCCTGCGGACAGCTCCGAACGCAACGCAGCCCCATTCATGCTGCAGTGGTGTACCTAGCATGCTACGTACACCACCACAGCCCAACTACGCGGGGCCAATGTCGATAAATCCCGACGGGTCCTGATCGTCCATATCACTGCGTGGCATGGCGCCCAGGAGTCGGATGAGGCGGGGCCGCTTAGCTGAAGGTGACACCCTCGATTGGGCAAGCCAGGAGACTGTGTCTCGCATGCTTGGGTCTACAACGCCACGACCGTCGGTTGGTGGGAGCGGGTGCGATTTTTGGACCCCGCTGGGGTCCGCTGGGGAGCTGGCGCGCCTACTGGACCCTGCTGGGGTCCGCCATCCTTGCCCTTATTCTAGTCGTCACTATTCCGATCTCAACGGGAGCGAACCGACACGCTCGATACGAGTGGTGCGACCTCTCGAATGTGACATGTGGTTATTTCACAGCTCCTCATTCCACTCCACGCGTACATCCCCCCATCTCCGTGCACACTCCCCATCCAACACGGGCCGAACCCGGTCGGTGCGACCGGGTTTCTATGAAGAGGTTGGGCGTTGCACACACGGATGAGAAGGACGACGAGCCGAGGATGAGGGCGAGGATGAGGAGGAGGGGGGGGGGGGGGGCGACGCGGAGGACGAAGGCGAGAGTGATGGGGATGTGGACACGTAAGAGGTGAACATGCATACGGAGGACGACGATGAGGCGGAGTGGGATTGGACTGGGCCTGGGGTGGCGATTTCTCTTCCACCACCTGGACCCACCGTTTGTCGGTGGGGACCCTGAGTAGCACATGCCCGTCCACCCGCCTGCTCGCAGGCGGGCCGTGCGCTGGGGCGCCCTGCAAACGGTTGAGCACGAGCGCTTCGCCATTCATCAGCTCTGAGCCCCAGGGCCGCGCCCGACTCATTTAAAACCCGACAGCGCATCAAGCCCAGAAACGGTGGGGGGGGGATGTGCTTGGCTGAAGCGCCCACGCACGAACCACGTCATCACGCCGTCAAGGGATTCACCGCACCCAGGAAGGTGCGAAGGGCGCGGCCGTCGAGCATGGGGCCGTCGTCGAGGGCGGGGTAGATGCCGTCCTCGTCGGACGAGCTCTCCAGGAAGGCTATGCGCGAGCCGCGCGATCCTGGGATGCACATGCGCAATTCGTGGTAATAGCACGTATCCGAGACGGCGGCGCGCACGATGCCGAGGACGAGGTTGCAATCAGGAGGTGGGTGGACGATGATACAGATGAACTGAATGACAGGCAGCGCGAACGCAGCAGAGAACGCCGCATGATGAGGACGCGGAGTGGACGACGAGCCACTAAGGGGGGAGGCGGACCACGGTGGAGGGGCCGGGGATTATAATATGGCGGTCGATGGCAGCGGTCGGTGATGTTGATGAGGGCAGTGGGACAGTTGGGAAGAACGAGCACGCACGACGGGTACGACACATTCGGGAGTGGGGCGGATGAGTACGACGACGACGACAACGGCTGCGACGACGACTACGACGACGACGAATGGTTGGGGGGAAGATGATCATATGTAAGGGACAGACGGAGGCTGGAGATGGGGGGGGGGGGGGGGGGGGGGATGAGGAGGAGGAGGATGACGATGTTGATGCTGATGATGACGATGCTGATGATGATGTTGATGATGATGACGATGCCCATGATGATGGGGCGGAGGAGGAGGAGGAGGAGTAGGATGGGGAGCAGGATGATGAGGAGGAAAAGGAGGAGGATGAGGATGATGATGAGGAGGGTGAGGAGGACGAGGAGGATGAGGAGGAGGGGGGGGAGCAGGAACAGCAACAGTAGCAGCAGCAGCAGGACACGGTCCTGAGCCCGCGCCGACAGTCGAACCCTCGCCGATGCTCAACTTGCGGCTGCTCTTGACGACGTCGCCCTTGATCTGGCCCTCGGCATCGGTGTTCTTGCCCGTGCTCTGCTTGCCGCCGCCCGTGCTCTGCTTGCCGCCGCCCGTGCTCTGCTTGCCGCCGCCCTTGCTCTGCTTGCCGCCGCCCTTGCCCCGCGCGCCGCCGCCCTTGCCCTGTTTGCCGCCGCCCTAGCCCTGCTTGCCGCCGCCCTTGCCCTGCTTCGGCGCGGCGGGCTCCGTATCCGTCTTCATGGTCACTGTCACCTTCGGAGCCTTCGCCTGCGGCGCGCCGTCCGGGCTCGGGAGCGCGCCGTCCGCCTCAGTCACAGGCGGCGTCTGGGCAGCAGGGCGCTTCTTCACCGACTTCTTCGCGTGCGAGCCGAAGTCCTGCTTCTGCGCATTGGCCACGCCCTTCGTGATCTCACCCTTCGCGAGGCGATGCGCGATGGCATGGGGGAACGCGTGACGATGTCTAGGGAAAGAACACAACGGGATGGCGAGGAATGTGGTGACTCCTACGCAGTCCTATGGTGCCCTACGCGTGGCGTAGGACTCCATAGGAGCAGTCCTATGGTGTCCTACGCGTGGCGTAGGACCCCATAGGAAGATACATGGACATTACAATCCTTGTCATCCTCGCCGTGCCTCTCGCCCTCCGATCCACCCTCCAGCATGACACGCTCCTCGCGAGGACGGCGCCGTCGACGCCGACGGGGGCGACGACGGCGACGAACGACGACGACGATGACGCCGTATCCATCACCCTCCTCCGCTATTTATCGCCCCTCCCGTGTCAGCCTTCATGCCCTCCACGGACGCGTCGAAGGTGTCGCCCTCCTGCCCCGTCGCTACGAGCTGAACCTGCTGCTTGGCGGCGGCGTTCGGGACCTTGTGCATGATGCACAGCACCCTGACTGGATGTGCGATGGCTGACCCATCATCCCAGCCCTCGTCCGACCCCATCCAGGACGGCGGGGGGGGGGGGGGGGGGGGGGGCAGCGGGGGCGACGGGGCGGTTGAAACGGGCGGTGATGGGAGCGACGGAACAGAGGCCCCGGGGGGCTAGGGTGGGGAGGGGGTGGACGTGCATACGTACGGGGAGATGGGGTTCACGGAGGTCGATCCTCACGCCCCGCTCATTCTTCTCGATCAACCGCCACCAGCCGTTGTCAAGCTCGCACTCGTCGAATGCTGCGCTCCTTCTCGGCTGGGGCGAAACAAGTGCCAGGAGAGGGTGATGAGGAGGGCGAGGGCGAGAGGGATGAGGATGCTGAGGGCGCGGTGAAGGATGACGAGGAGGAGGGGGAGGATGGCGAGCATGACGAGGAGTAGAGGGCGGTGATAGTGAGACTGACCGAGGCTGAGGGCGCGTGACATGACGAATAACGACGATCGCCACGACCCCACGCGCTCTCCTACGAGGTCCTACGCCACGCGTAGGACCCCATAGGACTGCGTAGGAGTCATCACGATCGTGTCCGTCCTGCATCGGGGCGCGTGCTAGCTGCCATCAGCTTGCTCGCCTAAATGGCCAGCATCGCTGCCCGCTCCGCTTCCTATTCCTCCTCCTCCGCCTCCTCCTCCTCCTCCGCCTCCTCCTCCTCCTCCTCCTCCTCATCCTCTCCCTCATCCTCCTCCTCCCCCTCCCCCTCATCCTCCTCTTCCTCATCATCCGCACCGTCTGCATCATCGTCATCATCATCCTCACACTCACGACCCACCACTACGTTTACCCCCCAACTGGCGTGTGTCCTCCGCCCGTCCACGGCCCGCAGCTGGCCGCATGTGATCTGCGGGATCGCGTAGACGGTGCCGTCAGCCCACCTCGCGACCACCTGGTTGTTGGGCTCCTTCTGGTGGTCATCCTTGAGCGGCAAACTCTGCTCGACCTGGCCAATGACCCCGTTGGCGGTGACGCGCTTGCGTGTGGCCGCCTGCTCTCGATCGTCCTCTCCGTGTCCCTCGTCCTGGTCCTCAACTACCCCTCCGTCCCACCCGCCGCCTCCTCCGCCCTCCGCTGTATCCACCTTTATCCATGGTCCATCCTCACTCCTCACTCCTCCTCCCCCCGTCCATCGGACGCATGATCGTCGGGGTCGTGGCCGAAGCGCCAGGTGCACTCCTCGTCGTCATCCGCAGCATCGCCAGCGGCGGCGCCACCGTCGGTGGTCGCGTCGCTGGCGAAACCTGGGCTCGGGGGGGGGGGGGGGGGGGGGGGCTTCGCTCCCCGACCCCCCTGGAGAGCCGCATGAGCAATGCCATGATTACATCAAGCCGAGGAGGAGGAGGATGCGGATGAGGACGAGGATGAGGAGGGGGAGGGGGAGGAGGAGGAGGAGGAGGAGGGGGAGGAGGAGGAGGGGGGAAGAGGAGGATTACTGACAACTGTTAGTCATCACCCCAGTGTGAGAACCCTGGAGCCACGCCCGCGCCTCTGCGTCGGGGTCGCCTTTCTTGGACTGCAGCTTCACGAACCCCTGTAGCACGTCCCTTTTCATTGCCCTGCACCTCTTGGCTTGCTTCAAGGCCCACCCCTCGGCCTCGGTGCCGAGCCGCCAGCTCTCCTCGTGGGCCTTCGCCACCATGAGGAAGGTCCGATACATCGGGCTCTGCGGCACGCCTGGGAGCAGTGGGAGTGCCACCGAGTTCATCTGCCTCATCCTCCTCCGCCTCCTCCTCCTCCTCCTCATTATCATCCTCAATCTCATCATCCTCCTTCCCGCCACCATGCCATCATCCTCACCCCTGTCGTCATCACCATCATCAGCATCATCATCATCATCCTCATCATCACCATCATCATCATCACCACCGCCACC